TTATCTCTCAAAGATACTTTGGGGCCCAGATTGTAAATTGCCCTAACTGCACGTTTCTGCAGGACAAAGATTCTATTGATATCGGCGGCATTCCCCTAAAGCAAAATTCCATATGTCATTAGACTGTGAAAGTAGCTGAAGTAAATCAATCTAGCGGTTTCGACGTCTGAAAGTTTCCTTATTTTTTTAATCGCGTACACTGCAGAGCCGAGCCGTTTTGATAACTTACTTACACAATTATTACAATTATTATTAAGCAAAGTTATGGATGGCTTGTTGCAGATGCCAAGCGGCTGATTGGGCGTCGGTTCGACGACCCCGTGGTGCAAAAGGATATGAAGCAATGGCCTTTCAAAGTAGTGGAAAATGAAGGTGGAATGCCTAAAATCGAAGTGACGTTTAAGGGTGAAACCAAGAGTTTCTTTCCTGAAGAAGTGAGTGCAATGGTGCTGTCCTCACTCAAGGACCAAGCCGAGTCATACCTCGGTGCGACGGTGCGCAACGCCGTGGTAACAGTGCCGGCGTACTTCAACGATTCCCAGCGTCAGGCCACCAAGGACGCCGGCACCATCGCAGGTCTCAACGTGCTGCGCATCATCAACGAACCTACTGCTGCTGTTCTTGCTTACGGACTGGACAAAACCGATGACGACGAAGAACGTAACGTGCTTATTTTCGACTTGGGAGGCGGGACTTTTGACGTCTCTGTACTGACCATAGAGGAAGGCATCTACGAGGTCAGAGCTACCGCCGGCGACACTCACTTGGGTGGTGAAGATTTCGACGCACGTATGGTAGAGTATTGTCTTACTGAGTTTGAAAAGAAGCACGGTATAGATTTGCGCGATGACAAAAAAGCCCGGATTAGAATTAAGAAGCAGTGTGAGCGCGCTAAGCGTACTCTGTCCACAGCAATGCAAGCAAGTATTGATATTGCTGGACTGCATGAAGGTGAAGATTTTCACATAAATTTCACTCGAGCACAGTTCGAAGAGCTGAACAGAGATCACTTTGAGAAAACTTTGGCGCCTATGGAGAAAGCATTGCGCGATGCCAAAATAGACAAGGCGGATATCAACGATGTCATTCTTGTAGGAGGTTCGACCAGGATCCCGTTTATTCAAAATCTCGTGTTTGATTTCTTTGAGAACAAGAAGTTGAACAAGAGCGTGAATCCTGACGAGGCTGTTGCGTACGGAGCGGCTGTGCAGGCGGCGATCCTGGACGGGGATCCTTCAGAAACTATGATGGAATTGGTGCTCGTGGACGTGGCGCCTTTGTCGCTGGGAATCCACACTATTGGGAATGTTATGACTAACTTGATAGAGCGGAATACTGCTATCCCTACAAAAGCAACGCAGACTTTTACCACCGCAGTGGACAATCAACAGCAGGTAAATTTTTTGCTACTCGCAACAGAACATTGATGCCATTATTATTAATAAACAAAAGTTACTTTTTTCAACATGTTAATTAATTTTTAGGTTCTCGTTCAAGTTTACGAAGGTGAACGCATTATGACGCGTGAAAATAATATTCTGGGTGAATTTACCCTTACCGGTATCCCGCCAGCTGCGAAAGGGGTTCCACAAATTGATGTCACTTTCGAAATTGACGAAGACGGAATACTCAGCGCGTCTGCTGTCGAACGTAGCACTAATAAATCGAAAAAAATCACTATAACGAATGACAAAGGCAGGCTTTCCAAGCACCAGATCGACAGGATGGTCAAAGAAGCTGAAATGTACAAAAAGGAAGAGGAACAAATAAAAATCTCAGCCCAAGCGAGAAATGCACTCCAATACTTTTGCTACAGGTTAGTTGGGACATCAGTCTTTTTATCTATAAAACTAATATCGAGTTCTTAGGCTTTCACGATTGTTACACTTAGGAAATGAAACTATTTTTCCGGATTTAAATCGCGTATATTTGTTTGTTCAAACAAACCGATGTTTCGGGCCCTTTACAGGTCCCATGGTCACGGTTGACTGAGGTGGTACAGTCTTCAACCAGTTATGTCTAATATTGATGCATATCACCATTTTATTACTTATAGTCATGACTTGTGAAAAATGCATTAGAAATCACAAAGGCTATATGATTGGAGAATTTGAATATTCTATCAATGCCACATCGTATGCATAGCACCTAAAGGGCCCTAATTCATTAGCGAACCGTTGTAAGTTACATTGCTTGTTGTTTATGCTCCGCATCGTGCTATCTTCCAAGATGATAGCTGAACACCAGTGTTTTGATTTCAGATGAAACTCGCAGTGGGATCAATTTGTCTTACTTAGGGAATAGAAATATAGCAATGCAATTCGGATAATCCGTAATTCAGAAAATGTGTATTTTCTGTGGTTTTGATTAGATTTTGAAATTCGGATTTTGAAATCGAAACCGGACTTAGACTCCTTTAAAGGAGTGGCCAGATGATGCCCAAGGTCGAGACATTTGCCCGGCAGAAGAAGAAGAAGACAAAGAAAATTATATTACAATATATAATAAATAATTAGATATAAATCTATTGAATTCTTAAGTTTTCCCAAAATGTTCAGAAAATCCCGCGAATTGCGAATTCCGTTTTCGAAATCCGATTTTCAATTATGGTACGAATTACGGATTTGCATTCCCTACGTTTACTGCAGCACACACAAGTCGCGTTTTTTATTTTTTATTACTTTAGGTAGTAGTAATAGTTAGAGATTTTGATAAAGCATTCGAATGGGTTTCGTATCCCTGCGAGGAGATTATTCCTCTCAAGGCCGTAAAGTTTTCAATTTCCACTGCATTCTTAACTCGACTTCAGACGACCTCTGTGGTCTAGTGGCTTGCACACCATTTTCCACGGTGTCGCTATCTTTGAGGTGCCCGGTATGATCCCGATATTGAAACTAACTTTTCAATATTGTCTCAGATCTGGATGTTTGTGGTACCGTCGTTGTTTCCGATTTCCACAACTCAGGTGATTTAGTTACTTTCGGATCGGAAGAACGTGTGTGAAGTTGTCTATATTTATTTATCTGGCTTTCGTTAAAGTATAAAAGAATTTCCGCTAATGCGACAAATAAACGGCATCTGCTTCCACTTATTATGATTCAGACATCATTCTTATTATTAATTTTGTCATTTCATGTTGTTTGATAAAGAACACTGCATACATTTTTAATATTTCTGTAATTTTATGCTTTTTCATTAGTTTTTGTTGTTTTAAATTTTTCGTTACTATTCTATCTATTCGGTTTAGTCAAATGGGCATAGCCGTCTACCTCCTCTCAGGCTCCAGCTGAAAATCAGCGCGGTGGCTCTGACCAGCTTTAAGCGGAGCTGGTTAGCCTTTTCGGCTATTGTTGTGTATTTTATTTTTATATTTTATTTGCAATGGCCGAATAAATGTTTCATTGATTCTTTCTTTGTTTCTCTTTAGTGATCCAAACATTTGTCTTATTTTCCAGCATGCGGTCGAAAGCCGAAAACAAAACACTGAAGGATCGTATACAACCAGAATCGAAGACAGCCATCTTGGAGAAGTGTAGAGAAATACTCGGCTGGCTCGAGGACAACCAGCAGGCTTCAGCTAAAGAGCTGAATAGCAAACTGAGCGATCTCGAACGCGTTTGTCTGCCGATTAAGAACTTGTAAACAAAGGCTAGATCTTGCCAGGTCATGAAAGAACAACGGCATAATCATAGTCAAAAGAATTCGTTGGCGTCTTCAAATGTTATAATTACAAGTTTGAATAAAATAAATCCATTAGTTTTTTACTTTTCAAATTTAATAGCGGCCTATCTGAGTCTGGAAATAAAATCATGTTTAAAAGAAACTCTAATGACTAATTAGTAAATCACCGGACTGATATCTACAACTGTCAGTTTCTTAACGTTGAGTGACATCTAGCCGTCAAAATAAGAACTTCAGTACCTACGTATGAATATAGTCTACAATAATTAGTTCACATCCAGATCACTTCAAATCGACCAGTTTAACTTGAGCTTTGCTATAATGGACGGAAATAGCTGAGTTACATATTTAATTACAATACAATACAATACAAATACAATACAAAAATTCTTTATTGTACACCAAAAAAGGAAACAAATACAATACAATTAAATTAAAAATAAGCGGTGGTACAATGGGCGGTCTTATCGCTTTAAGCGATTTCTGCCAGACAACCTTTGGATGGAAGTAATTATATAATTCACAGGAAAAAGACGGCGGTGTATGAAGAATTACTAATCAACAGATAAAAATTGATAAATAAATGCAAATATACATATATTTATAAATAAATAATAAAACCAATACATATATATGAATATCGTAAACTACTATATATTCTTATACTTATAAATATAAAAATTTCTAAAACGTAATTTCAAAACATAAAAATACCTAAGCAGTCCAGGTCACACTAAATTAAGGTAGTGTACTTTTACCATATTTTTGAATATATTCAATGATTTGGCTTGTTGAATAGACAAAGGTAAAGCGTTCCACAAACGAATAGCCTGAACAGTAAAGGACTTGTCGTAATACTGGGAGGTATGCAATGGCATCTTAAGTTGGAGAGTTGAAGAAGAGCGCAGAAGTCGGGGGTTGTATTGATGAGCGAATTCAAATCGCTCCTTAAGATAAGGTGGTGTGTGAGGAATGAATAAGATGCCATAGAGAAGATTAAGAATATGAGCATTCCGGCGAAGTCTAATGGGTAACCACTTCAGCTCATTACGATAAATGGAAACATGATCAAATTTCCTCAGACCATAAATGAAACGGATGCAAAAGTTTTGTAGACGTTCGAGTTTGTTGAGCTGTTCTTCGGTTAAATCCAGATAGCAGGCATCAGCATAATCAAGAATTGGAAGAAGAAGAGTTTGGGCAAGCGCAGTTTTCGTAGCAATAGGTAAAAAATTACGTAACCGTCTGAGAGATGCCGCAGACGCAAACAATTTGCGGCTGGTCTCAACTAATTGAGGTGCCCAAGATAGCTGCCTATCAATAAGTATACCTAGATTTTTTACGTTGTCACTAATTTTAATGTAGGTGTCGTCTATAATAACCTGCGGCAAGCGAAACCAATCTATCTTGGATACCATTCTAGAGCTGCCAATAACAATCATTTGCGTTTTCGTTGCGTTCAGCTTAAGACCAAATTGTTTACTCCACGTCGAAATATGACGGAGATCATTGTTGATTACCTCAATGGCTTCGTGCAGGTTTTCAAGTTGCCGGTGAGTGTAAATTTGTAAATCATCTGCATACAGGTGGTAGGATGAGGTAAGACTGCGGGAAATTGAATTAATAAAGATCGAGAAGAGAAGAGGAGATAAAACGCCGCCCTGTGGAACGCCAGCATTAATGTCACACCAACAAGAGAACCTCTCATCAATGCGAACACACTGCCGACGCCCATGCAGGTAACTATGAAACCAAGAGATTACCGTTGGAGATATGTTAAGAGTGCGTAAAAGTGCAATCAAAATGTCAAAATCAACGTTGTTGAAAGCATTGCTGAAATCAAGCAATGACATTACAGTGAGTTGCTGTTGCGACATACTATACCTAATGTCATCAGTGATCCTAACAAGAGCAGTCACAGTGCTGTGTCCTGGTCGGAAGCCGGATTGAAAGGGATTAAGAAGGTTGTTACGTATGAGAAAAGGAGTAATTTGGTTATGAACTAGTCGCTCTAGCAGCTTTGAAAGAAAGGGAAGTATAGAAATAGGTCGGAAATCGGAAAAGTTAGATGGGTTGGCTTTTTTGGGAAGAGGAGTAATGAGAGCTTCCTTCCAAAGGGAAGGAAATTCTCCGCTGCTGATAGAAAAATTAAGAATATACCGGATCACAGGTAAAATCTCATCAAGTATGAATAAAAACATTTTACGACCAATATGGTCACTGCCAACAGCATTGGACGAAATAGATTCTATGCCCTTCTTAACATCACAATCAGTAAACTCTTTTAAAGAAAACGGAGGATGGTCGGCAGTTGGAAGCGTGGAAAGATAATTTAAGGTAGATGTTTTAGTCGACCCGTCGAAGGCAACGGAATTAGAGAAATGGTGATTAAGAGCATCAAGGTTTAAATTTTTTGGGAAACTATCTTGACGTGACTTACCAACTCCCAGCGACCTAAGAAACTTCCAGACTTTAGCCGGATCATCAGTTTCTAAAGAACTATGAATATGTCGGCGTTGTCCATCCCTACACAACCTATTGCAGTGATTACGACGCTCATTATAGATGCGCTTATTCTCGTCTGTAGGACTGTACTTAAATCTGGCCTTAGCTGTGAGCTTTTTATTCATAGCAGTCCTAACATTCTGGTCTAGCCAAGGTGCAGGGAGGTGTTTCATTTTAACTGGCCGTACTGGTGCATGTTTGTCGTAAAGATTCATCAATGTGTTGTTAAACTCGGACACTTTGCTATCTATTGATATAGCATTCACAACGTTACCCCAGTCAATTTCACGAGCATCACTTCGCAAACAGTCCAAATCAATTCCACGAAAATTGCGCTGCAGAAGAATTTTGGGTTTAGCCTTGGGTGGGCGGATTTTGTAGGAAAGATAAATCAAGTCATGATAAGAAAAAGCGTCCGCAGCGCACTGACCATGTTTACTAACGAAGTTCAAAGATGACACAATTATTAAGTCAAGAAGTGAAGGAGTTGAGTTGGGAAAATTATGTGTAGCATTAAGTGGAAGAATGGTCATATTGTTAGCCATTATAAGAGATTCAAAACAAGAAGAACGACTATCTCGTTTGAGGAGGCAAGTATTAAAGTCACCCATAATTATGCTATGTTCATAGGAAGGCGAGAAGTCCTCTAATAATTTTTCAAAAGAAGCGAAAAAGTTAATACGAAGAGAGGGACAATAGTAGACACCAAGTAATAGTTTAGTATGAGAAAAGAGAACTTCAATGAAAACGTGTTCACCAGCATTGGATAGCGATTGAGAGGATGTGCTAACTATTGAAAATGGTATATGAGATCGTAGGTAAATAGCAACGCCACCCCCGCCGCAACCAATGCGATCGTTACGAATTAAGTTAAATCCTGGTAAAGAGTAAGACGAGGACTGAAGGCACGGTTTTAACCAGGATTCAGAGATAAGGATAGCATGAAGATTTTTATTATCAAATGATGCCAGCATATCTGAAAAATGAGCCGGAATACTTTGCGCATTTATATGGATAATATTAAAATGTTTGGGAACGTCACAAAATACCGAGTCAATTGTGCTCGAAAGGGATGGAATGTTACAAAAGCCAACATCACTGTCACTACTGCTATGAGAACTACAAGAAACATAAACCTCATCGTCATTATCACTGCTTATCGACATAAATTTTATTATAATAAACTACTGTATTATATATAAATCAATTTATAAAATATATAATGATTAGAAAATAATAATAATAATTTAAATAATATTTTGTTACTGCCCATCTGCCAGTTCCGTGCATAGCAACTTTAAAAAACAAGAAAAAAAAAAGATATATAAATGAAATTTCAAGCAGCCGTAGCCAATAAAAAAAAAAATAAACTAATCAGCTTTCACGCGTCACAGTAATTGTCAAAAACATAATTTTGTTATAAGAAAAAAAAAAGAACAAGAAATTGGGTGAACTAAACGACGGTATTATAAAAATTTAAAATGGTCAAATCAAAACAAAATCTAAATGGGAAAATTGGCCAATATTACTTTTTGGATGCTGCAACACGTCTCGCCTTCGGAGGGACGGCACTCGGCTGTTTTGATGATGAAGCCGCAGGTCTCAGATTCCTCTTCGGTGAAGTCGTTTCGAAATCCTCCTTCGGTAAAATAGCATCGAGATCCATGATGCTGCTGATACGATGACGAGTTTCATCAGGCCCGATTGCGAAGACTTGGCCTTCTCGCGTCCAACATTTTGCAACACCTAAGCGTTGACGTGCCTCCATGAAAACTGCATGCCGCGTTCTCGTCAGGAATTCAGATAACGTCACACCTGAGCCCTTTAACTTAATTTTGGCCATCCAGACTTTGTCACGGATAGAAACATCGCGGAGCTTGAACAGGATCGGCCTCGGCCTGTTATTATTTCCTTGACGACCCATCCTGTGGCAGCGAGAGATGTCTCCTACAGAGAATGTACTTAATTTTAGCCGATTGACCACTGATGAAATGTCATTCCATTTGTTTTGTAATTAGATGTTTTGCTATTTTTCCCACACCACCGAATGCAACAGCCCTCATTGTTACAGATACTATCTTTATTACAATAAATACAGAATATATTTGGAATATACGGAGACGTACACACTGCTCAGTTGTTGCCGTTGTACTATTTCAGTGCAAACGAGAGTTGATATTTAAAAATGATATAAGGCCCATTTGCCTGATGAGTTCCCAGGGATGGATGGCCCTTATTTCGTCTCTATTTCTGGTTATATACTCCACATGGACGGACTACGAAGCTAGTACCGAACGCTACCAATAGATGGCATTACTTGTGTCCTAAAACATGCAAGCAAGTTGCTAATACACCACACTTAAGCGTCGTTCAATACATTATTGCATGGCTGCAGAAATAGATATAGGACGTTCTCTTTAAAAGAAATGGTCTTATAATGTTTAAAATATGAATTGTCGAATGTGTTTAATCATTAAATGTCTTGTATAATAATGAATGTTATATTTTACCTAATAAAATAGTTTATCAATAAGAATTACGTTGTACTACTTTCCATTGGCGGCGAACTTGGGGTCAGGATGCGATTCCA